TCGGTGGCTCAGCCTGTAATCCCAGCACTTTGGGAGACCGAGGTGAGTGGATTGCTTGAGGCCACGGGTTTGAGACCAGCCCAAGGAACTTGGCGAGACCTCGTCTCTACAATAAATCAAAAATTAGCTGGACGTGGTGGCATATGCCTGTAGTTTCAGCTACTTGGAAGGCTGAGGCAGAAGGATCGCCTGAGCCCAGCAGGTCGAGTGCAGCCACTGCACTCCACTGCACTCCTGAGCCCAGCATGCCACTGCACTCCAGCCTGGGTAACAGAGTGAGACTCCAACTCAAACAAAAAAAAAAGAAAAAAGAAAAATTTTGCAGACCTACAGAAAAATATTACGAGAATAGTTTAACTCCCATACATCTTTTACTTAGGTTCACTCATTGGGTTTTTAAAAAATCTACTAGGTATAATTTTTAATTGTTTTTTTATTTTAAAGATGCGGCGTACAATTCAGAATTAGGTACATTAGTGATCATCAAACAGGCAAAGTTTGGGCCTCTCATTGGTCCTCACTTCACCTGGTTTGGGATCAGGTACACTTTCTGATGTTAGGTGCTCCCCTCCCCAGGCAGTATCCTGCTACTGCCAATCCCATTCTTGCAGTATTGTGATAAATGTTCAGGATCCACTTGTAGAGTGAGAACATGTGGTACTCAGTTCTTTGTTTCTGTGATAGATCACTGAGTATGATTGGCTCTAAATCTATCCAAGTTGCTGCAAAGTTCACAATTTTGCCCCCCTCCTTTTTTTATTTTTGAGTAGGAGTCTCACTCCTACTAGGCTAGAGTGCAGTGGCACGTTCATGGCCGCTGTAGACGTGACCTGTTGGGCTCAGGTGATCCTTCCACCTCAGCTTTCCAAGTAGCTGGAATCACAGGTGCGCACTACCACATTCGGCTAATTTTTTGATTTATTGTAGAGATGAGGTCTTGACAAATTGCCCAAGCTGGTCTTGAACCCCTGGGCTCAGGCAATCCTCTTGCCTCTGCCTCCCAAAGTGCTGGGATTACAGGCGCAAGTCACTGTCCCCAACTCAATTTTGTCCTTCTTTATGGCTGTGTAATATTCCATCATGTGTATACAAAGTTGGGTTTTTTTTGAGTTGGAGTCTGTCGCCCAGGCTGGAGTGCAGTTGCCGCTCCCGGCCATCGCAGCCTCGACCTGCTGGGCTCCGGCGATCCTTCTGCTTCAGCCTTCCGAATAGCTGGAATTACAGGCATGCGCTACCACACCCGGCTGTTTTTTGTTTTGTTTTTTTTTATTGTAGAGATGAGGTCTCACCAAGTTGCCCAGGCAGGTCTCGAACCCGCGGGCTCAGGCAATTCACTCACCTCAGCCTCCCAAAGGCGTGGAATTATAGGCTGAGCCACCGAGCCCGGCCAAAGTTTTTTTAACCAGTCCATTTTCTTTTTTGAGTTGGAGTCTCACTCTGTCGCCCAGGCTGGAGTGCAGTGGCACGCTCACAGCTGCCACAACTTTGACCTACTGGGCTCAGGGGATCCTTCTGCCTCAGCCTTCCATGTAGCTGGAACTACAGGCACGCGCTGTCAAGCCCGGCTAATTTTTTTGATTTATTGTAGAGATGAGGTCTCGCCAAGTTGCCCAGCCGGGTCTCAAACCCGCAGGCTAAGGTTATCCACTCACCTCGGCCTCCCAAAGCACAGGATTACAGGCTGAGCCACCGAGCCTGGCCGGTTTATATATATATAAAATAACAAATATATTTTTATTATTTATGTTGCAGAATTAACACCCACAGAGATCACGACTTGTCATCCCTAAATATTTCTCCCAAATGGGACTGTCTCTTACATAACCGATTACACAATTATCAAATTTAGGAAATTAACTTTAATACAATACTATTATTCAATATTCAACATTCAGTTCATAATCAAATTTCACCAACAATTACACGACTGTCTTTGCAGCCATTTTCAACCAAGTAGGATTCAATCTAGAATCACACACTACATCTGGCTGTCATGTCTCTCTAGTATCCTTTAATCGGGACCAGTCTTTGTCTTTTATGTCATTAATTTTTGAAGAGCATAAGCCCAAAAATTGTCTAACAGAATTCTGTGAGGTGGTGATAAAACTATTCTCTATCTGAATAGTAGCCACCCACAAGTGGCTACTGAGCAGATGAAATGTGGCTGGTACAACTGAAAAACTAAATTGTAAACGTTAATTTTTAGTTAATTTAAGCTTATATAGCCACAATTACCAAATGTATCCCAATTTTTTTGGTTGATTTGTTTTGGCAAGAAACACTTCAGGTTTTGAATTTCTGCAAGGATCCTCCATAAGTGATTGTGCCCTTATCAAATTGGGAAGCCCTGATATCTGTCTGACCCAGGGTTACTTGGTTAAGGTGGTATCTCCCAGGTTTTTCCTTTGTAAAGGCACCTTTTTCCCTTTGTAGTTAGTATATACAGGGAGATGTTGAGACTTGCCTAAGCCAACCACAGCCTCGACCTGCTGGGCTCAGGCGATCCTTCCGCCTCAACCTTCCAAGCAGCTGGAACTACAGGCACATGCCACCATGCCCGGCTAGCTATAATTTTTCTACATTTATTAGTCAGTGTTTCAAAAACTACTATTTTAATGAGTCATTAAAGTGACTTGTAAATTCCTAATGACACGAATCTTTTAGGACGAGTGCCATGGAAAAATAATATAATACTAATAAATAAATACTGAGTTAAATCAGCAATTCAACAAGAACTATGCTTGACTCAATTTGAGTTAGTATTCACAGGCATGTACTTAAAACCAGGTTAGCCCAATCCTTTTTTTTCTTTTTTTTTTTTTGAGTTGGAGTGTAACTCTGTCGCCCAGGCTAGAGTGCAGTGGCACACTCAAGGCCACTGCAGCCTCGACCTGGGCTCAGGCAATCCTTCTGTCTCAGCCTTCCATGTAGCTGGAACTACAGGCATGTGCCACCACACCCGGCTAAATTTTTATTTATTTATTGTAGAGATGAGGTTTCAGCAAGTTGCCCAGGCAGGTCTTGAACCATGCCCAGCAAGTTAAACCAATTCTATACAAACCAGTTTGTATGTAAAACATTATTATTTTTTATATTGACCAGGCATGGTGGCTCACACCTGTAATCCCAGTACTTTGGAGGCCAAGTTGAGGAGGATTGCTTGAGCCCAGGAGTTTGAGACCAGCCTAGGTAACGTAGCAAGACCAGTTTTGTATCTGATCCAAGGATTTCCCTCTGCAGTCAGGCTGTGCATAACCAAGAAAAAGGGAGGAGAAGGTGCTCAGGGAAAAGTGGAGATTAATGAATCTTCACAGGTTCCATGGATGGGTCTCAAGGGTCTCACTAACCCCTCAGAATCACATGCATTGTTCTTGCTCCATTCACATTCTCAAAAGCTCCACGATCACTGAACAAGTGAAGGACCACTGCTCTAAAGCCAGAGGTACTGCTGTAACACAGGCACAGCTCCTCCCCACTTCTGCCTCTGCATCTTTCACCTGACAAGAGTGGAAGTTCATCCCAGGGCCGGGCTGCTCTGCTCACCTTCCTCAGGGGCTGAGCTTTCCGCTGAGCTGTCTTTGTCTGAACTGCCTGAGGAGGCAGTTTTGTTGGCCTGTTTCTTCATCGCTCCTTTCTTCTCTATTTTTCTGGCTTTTCCTTTCTTCTTATTTTTATTACTCCCAAACGTCCACTACAAGGAAAAAGAACAAGGTAAACTGAAATAGAATAGGGACTTTATTGAGAAAAGCTGGAAGACTCAACTGTTAGGAGTCTGACATTCATTTTGAACTCAAAACATACTTTATGTGGGAAAAGAAACAACACACAAAAATTTTTGAAACCGGTTAAAACTTTGTATCCTCTGGTTTGGGTTTTTTTTAGAGAGAGTAGGAAATTTACAAAATACAAAATTTATTTAATGTTCTTTTTACTGAGCTGGGATCTTGCTATGCCTCCCAGGTTAGCCTGGAACTCCTGGCCTCAAGTCATCCTCCTGCCTCAGTCTCCCAAGTAGCTGGGACTACAGGTGCATACTACCACACCAGCTCATGTATTTTTTATGTCCAACAGGAAAAAAAAAAGATAGCAACTTTTTGGCAAGTTAACTGTGTTAACTAAAACACAGAAAAAAACATCTTCTAATGTTTTCTATGGCAGAGCTGGCAGTAATTATTAGCTTGCGATGTTGATATGTCTGGGTTTTAGCACACAGAAAATAGGTTGGTTCTGGGGCAGGTCTCAGGAAGGCAAGGAATGAAGCTTATCTAACAGAAAACAGCAGAAACTCTAGGGAAAAAGGACAAGGGCCACACTTTGGCCTGAATGGCAGTCCTGCCATCAACTCCAAGGAAGCAAAAAGTAAAGTATATCATTAGATAAATGTGTGTATATCTTCACTTTGGGAGGCTGGCTTGGGCCCAGAAATTCAAGACCAACTTTGGCAATACAGCAAGACTTTGTCTCTACAAATTCAAAAAATAAGGCGTAGTGGCTTGAGCCTATATTCCCAGCTATTCAGGACACTGAGGCATAAGGATATCCTGAGCCCAGGAGGTTAAGGCTGTGGTGAGCCGTGATCGTACCACTGTACTCCAGCCTGGGCAACAGAGTGAGACTCCAACTTAAAAAAAAAAATTCACTAAGACTATTTATTTACTATTAACCATACCTCTTTCAATATTTTAATTTGTCAATTTAGAATGATTTTATCGTGACCCGCCTGGGCAGCGAGACCTCATCTCTACAATAAATCAGAAAAAAATCAGCTAGGTGTGGTAGCGCACGCCTGTAGTTCCAGTTACTTGGAAGGCTGAGGTGGAAGGATCGCTGGAGCCCAGCAGGTCGAGGCTGCAGTGGCCGGGAGCAGTCACCACACTCCAGTCTGGGCGACAGAGTGAGACTCCAACTCAAATTAAAAAAAAAAAAGAATGATTTTAGGTGAAAAATACTTTACTCGGGAACTTTATTCTATGTACTATAAAGAATAATCTTGGGCTGGACGTAGTGGCTCAAGTCTGTAATCCCAGAACTTTGGGAGGCCGAGGCAAGAGACTGCCTAAACCCAGGGGTTTGAGAACAGCCTGGGAAACTTAGCAAGATCTTGTCTCTGTAATAAATCAAAAAATAAGCCAGGCATGGTGCCGTGTGCCTGTAGTTCCAGCTACATGAAAGGCTGAGGCTGAAGGATCACCTGAGACCAGCAGGTCGAGGTTGTGGTGGCTATGAGTGTGTCACTGTACTCCAGTCTGGGCAACAGAGTGAGACTCCGACTCAAAAAAAAAAAAAAAATGTACTATTAGTTATTTTAATGGTTACTTTATTTTTGTACTCAAGAGTTAGGTCGAAGAGACAAGTGAAAATAAAACAGCCATGTGTTCTAGAATGATATATTAAGAGAGCGAACAGCAACTTCTCTTTATGAGGGAACTTACTTCTCAAACTGTAACATTTCAACACCTAAAGTATTATCTAGAAAGAAATCCTAATGTTTCTTTTTTAAAAGAGAAGTTTTCAGCCTGGTACAGTAACTCATGCCTGTAATGTCAGCACTTTGAGAGGTCAAGGCAGGAGGATTGCTTGAATCCAAAAGTTCGAGATCAGCCTGGGCAACACAGTGAGAACTTGTCTCTATAAAAATAAAAAATAAAAAAAATGAGCTGGGTGTGCTGGTGCACATTTGTAGTCCCAGCTACTCAGGAGGCTGAGGTAGAAAGATCACTTAAGCCCAGGAGGTCAAGGCTGCAGCGAACTGTAATCATGCCACTGCACTCCAACCTTGGCGACAGTTAAGTCCCCAGCTCAAAAACAAAAAACCCCAAGACAGTTCTTAACCATTTCAAATTTTAATCATGTTAAGGAAGATAGTTTTCAGGTCAGTTTAAAAGAATAAAACTAGCCAAAGTGTTCAATTTCTGTGCTGACAATAAAAATATTACTAGAGTTAATAATGTATAACATCATTTTTTTTTTGAGTTGGAGTCTCACTCTGTCACCCAGGCTGAAGGACAAGTGGCACGCTCCTGGTCATCGCAGCCTCGACCTGCTGGGCTCAGGCGATCCTTCCACTTCAACCTTCCAAGGAGCTGGAACTACAGGCATGTGCCACCATACCCAGCTAATTTTTAAAAAAATTTATTGTAGAGATGAGGTCTCACCAAGTTGCCCAGGCTGGTCTCGAACCCCAGGACTCAGGCAATCCTTTCACCTTGGTCTCCCAAAGCGCTGGGAGTCAGCCACTGCACCTGGCCACATAACATCTTTTTAAGAAAAAAATTAGCTGAGCATGGTATTATACATCTGTAGTCCTAGCTGCTTGGGAGACTGAGGCTGGAGGACAGGTTGAGCCCAAGAGTTCGAGGCTTGAAGTGAGCTAGGATCCTGCTACTATACTCTAGCCTGAGCCACAGAGTAAAACTGTCTCTAAAATAAATAAATAAATAAATAAATAACAACCTCCTTCTCAATTTTTTTTTTTTGAGTCAGAATCTTGTTCTGCTGTCCAGGCTGGGGTGCAGTAGCACAATCACAGTTCACTGCAGTCTTTAACTCCTAGGATCAAATGATTCCGCCATCTCAGCTTCCTAAGTAGTTGGGACTATAGGTGTGTGCCATCATACCTGAATAATTTTTTTTGGTAGAGATGAGGACTTACCACGTTGTCTAAGCTAGTTTTGAACTCTTAGGCTCAAGTAATCCTCCCATCTCAGCCTCTCAAAGTGCTTGGTTTACAGACGACAGCCACTGTGCCCGGTCAAAAAAACCCCCATCTTTTGCATTGGCTCTCGATACAAAACAGTACAACTACACATATAATAGATAATGTGTGTCTGCTGGTTTTGAAAGTGGGCATGACTCACATTTTACAAATAAAGTGTCTTGGCCCTTTGTACTTCTACCCAATGAGAATATGAAGAGGTTGAGAGCATAAAGGTTGAGCTATCGGGGTCAGGTGTGTTAGAGTGGCTGGTCTGTTTTCGCCTATGAATCTGCGTTTCTCATGTGGCACACAGCCAAATTCTGGACTCCCTAGGCAGGATAAAAGTACTTGTAAGAGCAAAATGACCTAAATGTCATTACCTAAATTTATACAGGTAAATCCAATCAGGAGGTGCTAGGAAGCTGCATGACTTCCTTATCCTTCTACCTCTATCTGCTTCAGTTAAGTCTCAGCCTAAGCTTAGCAACTGTCACTCAACTGTAGTCTATAATGGTTATCCTTTGTGGGGGAGGGAGAAAAGACCCCGATAAAAACAGAAGACCTGGGCTCGGTGGCCTAGCCTGTAATCCCAGCACTTTGGGAGGCCAAGGCAAGTGGACTGACTGAGCCCGTGAGTTCAAGACCAGCCCAGCCTACTTGGTGAGACCTCGTCTCTACAATAAATCAAAAATTAGCTGGGCGTGGTAACGCACATCTGTAGTTTCAGCTACTTGGAAGGCTGAGGCGGAAGGATTGCTGGAGCCCAGAAGATCAACGCTGGGGTGGCTGTGAGCGTGCCACTGCACTCCAGCCTGGGAGACAGAGTGAGACTCCAACTCAAACAAACAAAAAAAAAAAAGAAAAGAAAAGAAAAATGCTTTAATGTAAAAGGGACTTTCCTAAATAAACCTGAACATGAGATGGAAATCTCCATTTTTTTCCTTTTAACAATTTTCAAAAGAAATGAGACAACAAAGTTGCCTCATCTCCCATGAGGTGGACTCAGTCAGGTCTATCATATCAAGGACTCACAACCAACAGCCTGACAAAGTTTTGAAAAGTATAAATAATGTGGGTGACTTTACTTTTAACGATAAAATTTCTCATGACTACATCTTTCAGTACTAAGAAGCTGGATTGCAGTTACCTGCATATCTATTCTCAACAAAGTATTTGATTTTTGATAAATTTTTTAAATCTAATTTTAAGAATAATCTAGGCTGGGCACGGTGGCTCAAGTCTGTAATTCCAGCACTTTGGGAGGCCGAGGAGAGAGGATTGCCTGAGCCCACAGGTTTGAGACTAGCCTGGACAACTTGGCAAGACCTCGTCTATACAATAGATCAAAAAATTAGCTGGATGTGGTAGCGTATGCCTGTAGTTCCAGCTACTGGGAAGGCTGAGGTGGAAGGGTCGCCTAAGCCCAGGAGGTCGAGGCTGCAGTGGCCATTAACAGTGAGCGTGCCACTGCACTCCAGCCTGGGCAACAGAGTGAGATTCCAACTCAAAAAAAAAAAGAAAAGAAAAAGAATATTCTATGTTCTGGCTGGGTATGGTGGGGTATGCCTATAATCCCAGCACTTTGGGAGGCTGAAGCCAGAAGGTCACGAGTAGCCTGGGCAACAAAGCAAGACCCTGTCTCTACCAAAAATTTTTTTTTAAAAAGGCCATCAACCGGGCTTGGTGGCTTTGTGAGGCCAAGGCAAGTAGATTGCCTGAGCCTGCCGGTTAAGACCAGTGCAAGCAAATTGGCGACACCTCATCTCGTCTCCATGATAAAAAAATAAAATTAGCCAGGCATGGTAGCACGCGCCTGTAGTTCCGGCTACCTGGAAAGCTGAGGCGGGAGAATTGCTGGAGCCCAGCAGGTCAACTGTCCCAGCAGGCGACAGAGTGAGACTCTAACTCAAAACAAAAAACAAAAAAAAAACAAAGCCATTGCCAGGCCATTGCATATTGTGGCCATTGCCTTGCTAAGCTATGGCCAGGCCATG